TTTGAATCGAATGGTCATTATTGTCAATGATAATTACATGTATATTTAGAAAGGTTACATTATGTTTTTTTTATAATGGCAAAGGTGGATAACATTTAGAAAACAAAATTTGAATATAATTAATAGCTATTATTATGAATTTATATGATGTTATTTTTTATAATGGCAGAAGCATATGTGGGTAATTTAGATATCTAATGACTATTATCATTAATGATGATTAGGTTCTACTGAATTGATGCCCAATCTTTCTTATTTTCTATGAAAATTTCTAGAATTTATGTTTTTCTAGCGCGGCTTATGAGGATCAAGACGGAAACTCTGTTGGAAAGATAAGATAGTCTTCGAAACACAATTTGAATAATGCTTTTTATAGACTATTTATGAAAAAAGCAAAATAAACATTTTACAACATTCATGGCAAATCCACTCGTGTCATTTTAAAATAACCAAACTAAGTACATAAACAATAATAGCTGGTAACAATAATTCAAAATAGTCAATTTTTAAAAATACAACCACAGAATGTCATTTAATTTGTTTTTTTACCGAAGGCCGGACCAGAAGGAATACATGTAAGTGCATCTCCAAGAGTTAATATCCTATGGTACAGTGCTACGGCACACCGCCCGTCTTCCTGAATATATGTAAGAGCATCTCCAAGAGTTAATATCCTACGGTATAGTGGTACGGCACACCGCATGTCTTCCCGCTTGTAATAAAGCTGCCATTCTTTTCCGTAAGGACGTAGTCGTTGCTGCCACGTGTCATCCGAATCGGGTATAGTGCTACGGCACACCGCAGGGGCCGCTCCGCCGCGACCGAGGTGGGCGAAGGTAGCCCGGCGCTGCTGGGGGCCGACGCCTCGCCCCTGTGACGTTGCCGAGGAAGGGCGAAGCGGCGCAAGGTGGGGCGCAGCGGCACTGCGGCTCTGTGGCGTCGCACGGGCAGCGTATGACGCAGGTGGGGCTGCGAACCGGCGGTGACAGCACCAGAGACGGCAGGAGCGGTGGAGGCAAATGCGTGTAGTTGGCCAGCAGCGGGTTTGGTGCATAGGCAGGTCGGAGATTTGGAGCGCTTGCATAGAGCTTGCAAGATCATTTTCAAGCGATTCTGATGCAATGGTGTGGGGTTCTATTTTTCGAAAAGGTGGTGGTGGATCTGGCGGAATAGGGGGCTGGCCTCCACTGGAGATGTGATAACTCTGCACGGTGTGCACTGGGAATAGGAACTTTGGCAAAAATGAGAGAAGGGCGAAGTAGTGTGGCTCACCAATGGGGTAGAACATGCTGGGGTGCAGGGAACACAGGAAGATCGGTAAGAGCTGGCACAGAGGAGGAAGGTGGCGTGGATGAACTGGAAGCTTATCCATGCAGATGTCGAACGGCAAGGAGGAGGTGGCGCCCAGATGTCGATCGACGAGCAACGGACTTGGAGCGGGAGATGACTGAGCAGGTGACGAGCAGCGGCAAAGCAGATGTCTTTCGCCAAAACGCAATCACGAACCAGGAGATGTCTCTCCAATTCACGCTGGGGGATCTAGGCGATGGGGGATGAAGGAGGCACAGCGAATCTGGATTGGAGCTGAAGGAAGGGGATGGTAGAGGTGAGAGGGGAGGAGGGAGCCGGCAGTCCGCCCAAAGGAGTGTCTCCGGCTGCAGGTTCAGTGTAGAGGCGACTGGCGCCGTGGCGCGCCCGTTGTTGAGTTGGTCTTGAGTTCCAGCTGACCGACCAGCGCCGCCGCTTTCTCGGAGCATACTTGGACACTACTTGGACTTTGGACGACGGCAAAGTTGTCTGAAAGCTACTCCTATACATTTGATAGCAAGCAAAAGCAGGGGTCGGCCTGCAGAAATGCTGCGCAAGTCATATTGGACTGCACTGCAGTGAGATCATCGATATCGAGCATAAGCGGTTCGTTCGTGATGAAATGAAATTTGATGAATCGCAGTCGTCCGCCGCGCGCGACCCGGCCGGCCATTGAATCCGACCCCACTGTAGGCGAATAACTAAATTCAATTCAATTCAATTTAATTCATGCGGAGAATTGAATGAGTTGAATCAGTCCATGTACAGTAGGCGCGGAGAGAATTCGTTCCCAAACTGAACATCTGGCACGCTAAAAGTACGGACGTATACGCATAAATAAAAGGAATCGGAATGGACCCATCGAGCGCTGAAAACCGCGTAGCTAGCTACTAGTATGGTGGTGGGTGTCGGGGGCTACAAGTCAAAGTTATACAAATAGGTATCTCCTATTTATCTTTAAAAAGGTTTTTTTTCCTATTTTTCCTCACAGCACTTGTTATTTGGGCGCACTAATACATATGCTTCCGTGTCTAGCTTGTTTCTTGCATGAGAGCTAAGCTCTTATCTTTTTTCTCTCTTCTCTTCTTCATATCACCATTAGCTTGGTTATAAGTCCATTATTGTACTTGCTCTTACGTCGGTCTAGAAAAAAAAAATTTAGATGAGAGGTCTGAAAAAGGATACGGTTATAAATATCTTCATCTTTAATCAACCAATGTTACCGAAAAAATATCAACATTCACAATAGAAAAACAGATATGCTATGAAATTATATTTAATAAAATATATTAATAATATTAGTGTCATAAATATTGCAAAATATTAACCGAATTTATTGCAAAAAAAAACTAAGAACCGACCAACATAATCACTTTTGGTTAATCGGTTAACTGCAATGTATATTGTACTTTTACAAAAGATAATACAACAATATAATTGTCTTGAGAAAAAGCACCTAACAAGGAATGGATCATGTAATGAAACAATGGGAAAATCAACAAAAAAAAATTGCTTCTAACAAACAAAGTCTCATAGAAATACATTTAGATACGCAAATGGGCACATTTTTAGTGTTTAATATATAATAGTTAAAAACAATTTCAGTTAAACCGGTTAATGCCAGCTCAAAACCCAAATAGATTTCCGTGAACAAAATAGCCCAAAGTCTTTGCCGAATAGATCATGAAAATTTCGGTTAATCGAGTTTTTCATTAATCGGTTCGTTCGATTAGTCAGTTAATAATCATTTTCGGTGGAATTTTGTCCACCCGGTATCTGCAGGAATTATTCTTATTATTCTTTTTTGGGCGGAGGATGCATAATAAACTTCAAATAATCTTTGGACGGAGAGAAGGAATATGTACTTACCTAGCCACACTACTTGTCTCTGAAGGAACAAGAACCGTGCAAGTGCATATGGAGTAGCACACACGGAATAGTGACAAGGACCTGTTCCGATGGATTTGTCACGTATAACTCCCTTGGGCTGCCGGCCGCCGTACCCGTACGTACGTGGTGACCATGACCATGACCATACGTGTTCTCTGTTGCTGCAATACATGCATCGACGAGATCGAGTTGTCAGTGTAACCGCGCGCGCGGGGCGGGCGGCGGGCTGATGCGGAGAGACGAGGAGAACCGATCAATGAGTCCGCGGCAACTACTACTACTACTCGTTGAATTCGACCAAATTGAATTCTCGGTGGCAGAACAAGAAGTCAACACGAGAATTCAAACAATGTGTGTGTATTATATGATATATATGTACGAGGGACGAGGCCTATCCTTCGGTCCAACAAATAGAGCACTGACCACGCTAGCTAGTTTTTTTTTTTTTTTGATATTCATTCACCTCCTTCTTCGTTCCTTGCAAAAACAATATATAACAATAACTAACCTATCTATAAGGAGGTTAATTTATGTTATTTATATTTTTTAGTGGTAGAGGCAGAGGTAGGTAAACACCTAGAAAGCACAATTTGAATCTAATGTTATTATTACCAATGGTAAGTAATTATATGTATATCTAGAAAGGTCACTTTATGTTTTTTATAATGATGACAAAAGGTGAGTGGGTAACATTTAGAAAACACAATTTGAATATAATAGCTATTATCATCAATTTATATTATGATATTTATTACAATGGAAGAAGTATTATTAATGGTGATTAGAGTTTATTGAATTGATGCCAATCTTTCTAATTTTTATGTGAATTTCTAGAATTTACGTTTTCCTAGCGTGCCTTGCGAGGATCGAGAAGGAAACTCTCTTGAAAACACGATTCTATAATGCTTTATACAAACATTTATGAAAAAGCAAAAAAAAAAAACATTTTACAAAATTCAAGGCAAATCAACTCGTGTCATTTTAAATAACCAAACTCTGTACATAAACAATAACTTGTAACAAAAGTTCAAAATAGTTGCTTTAAAACAACCACATAATATTGTCACGTACTTCCTCTGTCCCTCTTTGACTGTTGTTGTGGCGGTGGATTTTAATGTCCACATTCACAGCCCCTGCCATGCATCTGGACAGAAAATAGTGTCCACGTTCACAGAGATTTAGCTATACCTACTAAAATGTCAAAGCGACACAAATAAAAGGGCAGAGGGAGTATTTGTTACCGAATGACAAGACTAGAATACGTATATGTAATGTAATATAACCCAGGCACATGGAAATACTACTTCAAAATCGTTGTCTTATTTGTATATGCACTTGGCTTTGATCGATTTGATTTTCAACCCTTGTGAGCTGAAATAGAACTGGACCGAGCCCCGGAAACCGAGTAGTACGTGCTTGCGTTTAACTAATCAGCTGAGACGACCTCTGAGATGAGAGGGAGAGTCAGTACAAGCCGAAGAACAGACCCGGTCCGCTGTGGCGCTGTCATAGCTTTCTTGGCGGCGTCAGGCTAGCTATAAAAGGCCACCACCTTTGTCTCTCTTCTCCCAACAACCATTCCAAGGGCATCCCACCATAGACGTAGCCGGCCAGCTTCCTCTCATCGGCGATCTGTCACATTGCTAGCAATATATCTACTAGCTAGATATAGCTCCATCGATATCGTCTAGCTAGCTTTTCTTCAAGGCTACTTTTAGCTCCTAGCTAGTAGCAACAAGCAGCCCGGTACATCGCAGACAAGCGTGTGATCGGTCGCATCGATCATAAGGTACTGATCTGATATGGCGGCGGCGGCGCCGATGACGATGACGATGACGATGACGATGACGATGAGGGCAGTGCTGGTGGCCGTCGTGCTGATGCAGTGCTGCAACGTGTTCGTTGCGGCGAGGCCGTTGCTGGAAGCACCGGCGGTAGCGACGACAGCAGACGGCGGCTGGCTGGGGATAATCATGCAGGTACTACAAGGGCCGGGCGGCAACAACCACAACTGCCAAGCTCCCAACGGATCGTGCCCCTGATAAACTAGCTAGCCGGCCGCTGGCAAGCTCCTGGCCACCTGTAAACGTAACCAGCCGGCCGGGGCGGCGGCGCCTCGATGAACTGCGGCATGCATGCCCATCGTCCGATCAGGGCCGCCGCCCAGCCGGCTCGCAGCATGACGGGTCGTCGGTCTATTTTTTGATCAAGTTCCTAAGCTGGTTCCGATTCTGTTGATAGTTAACTGGCAACTAAACTGTACATGCGTATGTAGTTGCGTATAGGATATTGTTCATTTCTTTCGTTCTTTCTGAAAGATAGGTAGCTAGCTGTTCAGCATTTGTAATTAATAAGAGATTGTTACTAATTAATTCCATGCAAAAATACATGGAGTCTATATCTCTCACACATTGTTTTTTCATGTAATTCTAGGTTCCAAATAAAATGAGAGTGCCATATTCATTACACTCAAGTCCGTTAATTAAATTCCCTGCGGTTGAAACAGTTCATAAGAATTCGAGCTAGTCTCAATAGGTTGCTCGTATTTACAGCTACTTTTTCTTCAATCTATCAGAGGTGTTTGTAGAAGTAGGATTGTGCATATATCCATTCGTATGGGTAATTGACGAGTGTTGTGTATGTATGCTTTCGTGAGTATCTGCCTTTCAAAAGAAATTACTAATTAAATATCCTGACTCGCTCCCTCTCGAGAGCCTTTCATGCCGCCGCCGCCTAGGGCCTAGGGTAGGACCGTCGGCTCCTCACTCCACCGTCGCGCCTAGGGTCCCTCTTCTTCTTCCTCTCCGGCGACTCTACCAGAAACAAGAAGGGGAGAGAACCCATCTTTTTCCCCAGTCTCTTCTAGTGTCTTAGGGTTTGAGTCCAAATAATTTCCGGCAAATCAGATGATTTTCTGTTGGGATCGTGTTTCCTGTGATGACTTCGGTGATTGTCACGACGAGATCGTCGTTGCAGGTGTCGATTTCATTGGCAGGCGGCCAATTTGCGGCCTTTATCTGCAAGGGGAGGGGTGCTTCTATGAGCCCCCTATGAGGACAGCGACTCCGGATCATCGATCTCATCTTCGATGGTTGCGAGAGAAATTCAAGGTCTCCAGGTGATGATTTTGTAGCCTATGTCGTACCTGACGATGCAACTGCCGATATTCTTTCAGCGATTTAGATGCGTTTTGGACTAGTTCCGAAGCGTTGGATCTTGCGGCATGTCCAATGTTTTGGGGTTGGTCGTTGGATACGGCATAAGGACTGCAGTTTGGCTCCGGCGTTCGAGGGAAGTCATTGGGGAAGAAGACGATAAAAGAATCTAGGTAGAATATTATATATTTTTTATTTCAGATTTTTTCATATGTAATTTGGGGATGCACTGTGCCAAGATTTAATATAAGTCCCCCTTCCCTTAGAAAAAAAAATCCTGACTCCCTATTGACCATTGTTTAATTAAGTGTGTCTAATTATTAGACTAATACCTTTCAGTAGGCAGGAAAAACACTTTTTATATACACTTTTTCAAGTAATTTGACCAATGGCGCCAAGCCACCACCAACTGAATGAATCACCTAAGAATCACGAACGTGCATGTAATTCAGGCCAACGTACGCGTACTTGTAGTCCTTGACGTACTGGTAAAAAAAATATAGGACTGAGACCAAATTCAACCGTTTATATTTAAACACAGCAGCATGCATGTTTGGTCTAGTATAATGCCGTAACTAATACTGTTTGACACGCTCTAGCAATTTTTGTGTTAATTGTTTTAATTTCTCCATCATATAGTTGGTGGCTAATTTGTAAATAGGTATTGTTTTAAAGTGGAGTAATATAATTTTTAGTCCTGGCCGGAGAGAGGGAACATGGGACTTCCTTTTTGGGCGGGTTAGTACGCATGGCAGCTTGGTTTGATCGACGGACGGTGTTTCAACCTTGTGAATTGAAATTCAACTTGACCGAGCGCTGAAAGAAAACCGCGTAGCGATGGCGCCCCCGCCCCGGGCGCGTACGTTGTTGGCGCCGTTAGTAGATGACGCATGCAGCAGCAGCATCCTCGACCGGTAAATCAAATTCAAATTCAAATGTTTATAAAAGTACAAGGCGAAGAATAGACCCGGTCGGCGCGCGCTTAAACCTGCGTAACGAAGCTATAAAAGGAACTCATGCACGCATCTTGTCTCCCAACAAACCATTCGAGAGACAAGTTCTGAAGCAAACTCCAGAGTACGTCATAACCAGCTCGATCGATCGTCGATCGTCTGCAATCACAGTTCTCTAGCCTGCCATATATATCGTCGTCTGGAAATCGCAGAACTTTGATCGGACGACGTACTGCAAGTATATATGGCAGCTGCAGCGGCGACAATGGCGATGAGGGCGGTGCTGGTGGCCGTCGTGCTGATGCAGTGCTGCAACATGATCGTCACGGAAAGACCGTTGCTGGAAACGCCGGCGGTAGCGGGAGGGGCCGCCGCCGCCGGTACCAGCTGGCTGGGGCTCATCATGCAGGTGCTAGCTCCGGGCGGCAACAACAACAACTGCACGGCTACCAACGGATCGTGCCCCTGATAAGCTAGCTAGCCGGCCGGCCGGGGCCCGGGGCGGCAAGCAAGCTCCCGACTCCATCAGTCGATCATCAACTGCATGCATGCTCCATCGATTTTTTATGTATATATATACTAGGCGTCAATTAACCCGATGTGCATATATAGTATATGGGTCCTTGTTGTAGTTTTTGCAGTTAAGAGGTTAATTAACTCCGTGCAAAAACGCACAGAGCGGTCTCTGCCTCTCTCTCACACAGTTTTGTTCTTTTATATGTGGTTCTGGGTTCCAGATCGAGCTAATAAAGAGTGAGATTCGCAAACTGAAGGTCGATCGATCTGTTCCATTCGCTATTTAAATTCACAGTACTGTATATAAGTATATTACTAGTGTTACAGGTCGACAGGAAATGTGATTTTAAATATATATTTTTACGAAGGTAAACCTAGCTTACTTTTATAAAGCAACACTACTAATATATACACTTTTCAACAACTGACTAACGCTTTGACCATTACACGTACGCTTGGTCTCTCGAGGAAATAATAAAACCAAGTCTACGTGCGAGCACAGCAGTAGACTACTCTAAAACCTTTCTTGCATATATGTTAATTTGTTTACCCACGTTTGATTTGACTTTGACTGCATTGCGACAGGTTGACACTTGACACTCATGCCGCGTAAAATTTGTTCAGACTCGATTGAGCTACCCTAGTGAGTCATGAGTCATGACCAGCAACAACATATTTTGCCGCACAATCAACTTTACTAAAATTAGTTAAAAAAAAAACTTTACTAAAATTGCTCAAATTCTTCAAATTTTACATTCCTTGCTTTCCACTTCCACCTTTGCCCCATAACCAGCTTTACTAATTTAAACACCACAATTAAAATTCAGATTTAAACATTCGGTTTATAAACAAATGATAGTTAAACATTCGGTCAAACTTGAGAATGTTTGACTCATCGAAATACGAGTTGTGCACTTATTTTAGGATGGAGGGTGTATGACCCTTTTCTTTGTCTTTTTTAGGATATATTTTCTGCATAGTTATTAGTTCAGCTAGTTCTTTCTTCGAATGAATCTGGCTTTGTTTAAAAAAAAAGAAAGAATAAGCATGGCATAAGTTTATTCTATCTGGAGCAGTTGGTCGCATTTATCTATGCTACCTGCCTGACTACATGCCTTGAAAAGAAAAGGTCAACATTTTAAATGGATAATAACTTCATGGCATTCTCCTTTTAATTCAGAAATGAAGATTATTTAGTTGTCCTCGTCGAGCAAGCTTGCAACTAATAACCACTAAGATGTCAAAGTCAAAGGCACGTGACGTGACCCTGATCATGGGACTTGCAGTAAGCCAGTAAGGTGTAAGTACGTAATTTGTAAGTAATTAACAATGGGCCTAATCTTTGTCATACGAAAAGAGTTCACACAAATAATAACCTCATGGTATACATACCTGACTTTGATGGATGGATTATTTCAACTTTGTGAAATGGAAATTGAACGAGCGCTGGAAAAGAAAAGAAAAAACATCGCGCAAATAAGGCGCGCCGTGCGTACGTAGGTCCTTGCGCTTGATCAGCCAGGAATCAAGATGTAATCAAATACGTAAGTAAAAGTACAAACTGAAGAATGGACCTGGTCCGCCGCCATACTTTGTGTCGGTTAATGAACTAGTTAGCAGCCTAAAAACCTATAAAAGGACACCACGTTGTCTCTAGCTCTTCCGACAACCATTCGAGAGGCATCATAATTAAGGGACTGATATTGATATGGCATCCGCGGCGATGAGGGCGGTGGTGCTGGTGGCCGTCGTGCTGATGCAGTGCTGCAAAGTGATCGTCGCGGCGAGGCCGTTGCTGGAGGCGCCGGCGGTGGCGGGGGGGGGGTGACGGTACTAGCTGGCTGGAGATGATCATGCAGGTTACAAGGCGGGCCGGGCGGCAACAACCACAACTGCCAAGCTCCCAATGGATCGTGCCCCTGATAAATTAAACTAGCTAGCCGGGGCGGCGCCTCCACCGACGATAAAATAGTGGGATTAGCCATGCTGATCGATCAAGTTAGGCTAGCTGGTTGTGATTTTGTTGATTCAATCGTAGGCGTGTCAATAATTAATTAACACATGTACGTAGGTACGTACATACATGCGTGCTTACGTAGCTAGCTAGAGAGAACATTGTTCATATCCCCATTATAGTCCTTTCTAGCTACTACTCCTAGCTTAGCTAGTTGTTCAAAATCTGTAATTAAGAGATTAATTCATCCGTGCAAAAATGCGTGGAGTCTTTGCTTAACATCCAATATAGTTCTTTCGTGTAATTTTGGGTTCAGAACATCTTATAAAGGCATGATGATGCATGAGATTATACAATGAAGGTATTATATTCACTCTTTATATTCAAATAAAACTTATTTCGGTCGGACTGCTGCTTTATTTCTCTTCTCACCAACAGAGAAATTAAATCACTTTGTGTATATATATGTATGTACACGTTCGAGAATTTTGCCTCCAACCAAATGAATCGCTGGAGAATGACTAGCTAGCATGCATGTAGCCACACGTAGAGTAACGACACTATTCATCTCGCAAAACAGACGAGATACATAGAGAGAGTTAACAATAGCGTCGTTATCATATAAAAGAACAATCTTTAATTTTGTATGGATTGCGACCAAAATTCAACTGCTTTTTT